ACTAAAAACATAAACAGCTTGCAAATAACATTCCACATGAAAACCCAACTACATCATTTATGACTGGCTTGTGCCTATAAATCAAAGAAGTTTTAAGTCTACAATATAAACAAGAAGGCAGACAGAAGTACACACCTGAGTACAAACACCTGGGAAACACTAAAGATACTTTTCTGTTGTTTAGTGTTGAAAGGGAATCCTACATAACAGGAAGAATCTGAGCAACTTCTGCAGATGGCTAATCAACCTACATTACAGACTATGTTCAAGAAATTGTAACATACCATGGCTTTATTACACTGATATTTAAAAGACCTATCAATATATCAAGGTCTCAAGAAAAGAGAGAGGAAAATAAAAGCATACCTTCAGGTTATTGTCTTCTACCAAACATAATAAAGGCCGACTGCAGTACTCCACCCCGGGCTTCACATCCCATAATTTCAGTGGCAGGTGGTCAGCCATTACAAAAAAATACTAACTAGAAAAGTTCAGACATACATCCGCCCCAATGTTTTGAATCAAATATAACTCTGAGGAAGGTCATGAATTCCCATGCTGTCATTTTACCAGGAATCGATCAGGCCTTTGAACTATGTACAGTGTATATTCAAATCACCTATTAGTCACTTACCAGCATCATCTCAGTCATCGGGTAGCTGCCCAGGTTCAGTACCTATGTTCTAGCAAACCTTTATTTCACTTAATAATGGCCTCAAAGTGAAAACATGTACTTCAATATTGTTACATAAGTTAAAACCTTGCCAGAAGGATATATGCATAGGACAAAACAGTAAATGCAGGGTTCCTTACCATCTACCATCTTGGGCATCCACTAGAAGTTATTAAAACATTACCTCCTATGGCTAAAGGGAATCATGATAAATAATAAGACAACATCCCAAAATTCAGTTTAGGAAAATCTAAGGTTGTAATCCAGAAATTAAAAAGCAATTAGTAAACTCAGAGAAGAATATTCAAATCTTTCTCAGTTGCAAAGTTTAAAGAGCCTCCTATTATTACATATTAAAATGTAGTCAAGCTTGGGTTGCTCTGATGATGCACAGGTCAGAGTGATAACAGGAAGTAAGATAAACAATGAGAGGTGAAATCAAAGGCTCCAGAACTTTTTCTCATTGTGACAAAATGCCTCAGAAACAACTCAGAAGGATAAATGTCAGTCTTTGCTCAGGGTTCCATCCTGCTCAGCAGGCAAGTGCTCTAAGGCCGTGGCAGGGCCAGAATACCACAGTGGTACAGCAGGAGAGAGGAAAGTCGACTGCCCTGCGACCACCAGGAAGCCTACTGAAAAGGAATGTCCGTGGAAAGCTTTCACCCCAGAGGCTCACCTCCTCCGACCAGGCTCTGCCTTCTTCTTTTAGAATTTTTTTCAAGATTTATGTCTATATGTGTCTGTCTTTTTGAGTGCATGCTATATGTATGTGGGTATCTGCAGGGGCCAGAAGAGTATGTCAGATCCCATGGAACTGGAATTAAAGGCAGTTGTGAGAGACGTGATATGGGTGCTGGGAACCAAACATGGGTCCCCTGGAAAAGCTGTAAGTGTTCTTAACTACCAACACATCTGTCCACCCCATTAGACTCTACCTTCTAATAATCCATTGGGTGTGAACTCATGGATGGATTGATCCATTGATGAAGTTAGCACCTCATGATCTTGTCTTCCTCCACAGCACCATCAGCCAGGGATTAAGCCCTTGGGGAATATTTCATATAAAAATCATACAGTCTGGGCAATGCACATTTAGGCGTCAGGGGACAGCCACCTTCACTACCCAAAGAACGGCACCCTAACTTCTTGATTTTCAGAAACTGTTACTTTGCTCTTCTCCAAATGTTGAGAAGAACTTGTGTTGTCCTTACTTGTTTACTTTCAGGACAAACCATAACCTATCAACACGATCATAAAATGTTTCCTCACTTTAGAGGGGGTGGGACCTGGGAGCATGGAGCCAATAGATGAATGAGGTGGACTAAAGTCTCATGCAATAGCCAACTTTATTCAGAGCCCCAGACAATTTATACTCTAAGGGTTAAGAAAGGTCAGACGAGTAAAGTTCTCATGAGTTTAAGCTGTATATACAATCATAAGGACAAGCCGCATGTGCCAAAAATGGTTTCTATAGAGGTATATAAGGATATTTTAAACATTTGATTGAATAACAACAATAAGCAATAATGAGTAATCTGAACTAAATTCTCTCCTATCTGCTACAATCTGGGAGGAACACAAAAACACATTCCAAGAACAATTTCATGTTTTGAAGAAACTTAGGTCACAATACTCTTGTCTTGTTGTCTTGGAGTGTTCTCACAAGCAGTCAGAATTCTCACATAACTCCCTCCATTCCGGTACCATGTTCTAATAATAATAAAGTAAAAATTTTCAAATTTACTTTAAAAATCATAATGAAAAGAGGCTGATGTTTACTGCTGAGAAGAACACTTTGCAAGTCCAGGTTTAGATTTCTATCATAGGACCTAGTGATATCCTTTAAGGTTGGCAAGTCTTCATTTCAAACAGAACATACAACTCTTGCCCAAGACTGGTCCTTCCTTGCAAAATTCAGAGAGATTTATAAAAATGCAACCATAATACTGCTCACTGCCAGAAAATACTGATGTGGATAGAGGCAGAATGCTTTTTTCCAAAAAAAAAAAAAAAAAAAGAAAGAAAAGAAGGATCTAAGGGCACCAATGAAACCACCTCAGAGAGCAGACACTGAATTGCACCATCAGGGATCCCCACAGGGTCAGGAACCCCTTCCCCATGAACAGGCTAGGCAGGTCTGCTGGAGCAGAGGCCACGGAAGCAGTGACGGCAGCAATAGGATCATTGCTCAGGCTAGCTACTACTCTTGGGTAGGATGCTCATCAACCTCCCCTCTCAAGAGGCAAGGAGCCCTGGGACAGCAGGGTCCTCAGAGTAAAGTCTAGAAGGATGGAGAGCAGGCAAGCAGGGAAGGAGGAAGGAGAGGGCAGCAGGGAGACTGCAGGAGGAAAGCAAGCAGACACCAGCCATCAGCATCCCAAAATTCAGACAGAACTGGCCTTGCTGCATTCAAATACACACATCCTCCCAGGGAAATGACTTTCTTTACAGTTCTGTTTCACAGGGCTACTAGAAGCAACTCTGAAAGTCTTCATGCCCTCAGGATTTTAGCAAATGGGTTCTCATTTACTTAGTCCCCTCGAAGCATTTTCAGCTCAGTTCTCATTTACACTGTACATGTCCAATGCTGGCATACAGACAAAGAAAGGTTTCAGATGGAGCTGCTTGCTAATGTGTGAGACTCATAGTGAACTATATAATTATACACCCTTTTCTTTAAAATTGTCATGTATGTCTTTGTGGTGTTGTGCGCAAGCGTGCATGCGTGTGTGCGTGTGCGTTGCTAGTGATGGAACCCAGTGCCTTGTGCATTCTGAGTACAAATTCTACTCCTGAGCTTCACCCCAGCTCTCTACAACATTTGTCTGCCTGGAAATGTCATTCATTTCAACTGCACACAAAGCAAATGCTATGAAATGAGTGCTAAGAAAATTCTCCAATGCAATAGATTTAACTATGTTTTCAGTTCAAAGGACAAGGAAAAGAAAGCCAAAATTTAAGTAAGATGCATTTAATTTATGTACAGTGTATGTGTATTGTTTATTTCAGGTTGGTTTGCTCCTTAAAGTTTGGGAAAAGAACATAAAGGTGATATATTTTAGAACATTCCATATTTAATAAGAAGAAACTATCTGGTAAGAGAACAAATAATTATGCATATTTAATTGCTTTTAAACTTATAAAAACCCAAGACTATACTGTCCTTTATATTTAGATAGTATGGTAAGAATAGAAGGATGTAGGAATATATAACATAACTATTCACTACACTTACCAATCACACTAAAGCTTTTATGAATGAAGCTTTGTGATCAAAGCAGAGGCAATTATTTAATGAACTAGCAGAGATTACTGAACTTGTAGCCCTTCTTCCCTCCCACTGCTGGGCTCTCATCAGCATTCAGGGTCATGGCATGTGTCTATCACAAAGACATCATGACAGCACTATTACCATGTTATCACTGTCACTAAGGGCTCCCTCTCATGAGGTATGCACTGTGTGCCCGGAACACTGTATTTTGTATAAACCAATTAATCCAGTTCTTGCAGAATCCCGAGAAAGAAGTGCTACCATCTGCATCCTGCAGAAGAGCAGAGCATCAAGAACTGTGCACACATCCAGGTTGTGTCTACACAATGTGTTCGTGTTTCACACATACCTTGTATATATGGACAGAAGGTCATCTTATAGGGCACTTTGGTGCTCCTGTATTTTTACTAAGACATAGCACAGTAATAGGAACAATCTTCATCTTGGGACTGTCATGTCAGGTCTCAGGGCCGGTGGAAATGTTCACATATGAATTGGCTGGGGAGTGGTACTGCTGCTGCTGTATTTACCATGTGTAATTCTGATTCTCACAGGCCTAATTGTGAAGATTAAATACAAACAGAAAGTAGGAACAGGTAACTCAGAAAAGGCTACTGTAGGCAAACGCCCAAGTCAGTACACAGCACGCAGGAGGGCATTCATTTCAGGGCCAACAGTGATGATGAAAGGAGTGTGGGTACTGGAACAGCTGTGGTCCAGTGGTTAGACCACCACCAGACGCCCTGGGAAAGAGACGGGGGCACCAATTTCAGATGCGTTTTCCCCAGTCCCTCTCATGCCACCCGACTGCTAGAGGAAGGGTCGAGGTGTGCCCCATCACTGGCTGGTCCGCAAGGCTTCCACACATGTGATGAATGAATACAGAGACAGGAGGAAGCAAACAGGAGGCAAGAGTGAGGAGAAAAAGGGAAGGGAAAGGAAAGTAAACTGGGAAAACAAAGGGATGCAAAGATTCTGTGTAACACATGAAAGAAATGCATTTACTATGGGAAGATTTATATGTGAGCTTAATAATACACGTTAAAATATGATTACCCTTTATTTCCTTTCTAGGCCGTAGAGTCCTGGCAGCTTTCAACTGAAGACTCAGAAAAAATAGGAATGATGTTCTCAGTGTCCAGCTTGGGGATTTCTGCAAGAAAATAGACATGGACTAAACATTCTGATGGACAAGAACAGGGGGCTTCAAAGAGCATTAAGACAGAATCAGTTTCAATGAATAACATAAGGCACTGCATTTCCTAAGACTGAGGGGAAAGATGAGTGGCAGACCTACTCCAGCTAATGTACCAGGCTGTACACTGGTTGAAGAAAACAACAAAATCAACACCTGAGTGGGTTTGCTCCTCCTGTGTTTCCCATGGCCCAAATGCAGCATCCCTTGCAGTACCCACCAGGGCTCCAGCTCATAGGGCTGGGTGCAGCAGGAAGGGGCTGCTCACACACCACAGCAGAACTGGGCAAAGGAAACAGAACTTGTACTTTTAGAAATCAGTTTTTGTTATAAAGGAAGTGAACAGTGTATGTGTTTTAGCTTTCCCTGTGCCCCAAATGTAACACGGACCTGGGACTCAAAACAAGAGTGTTCCTATACGTCATAGAAGGCGGCCAGGCCTTGGGTTAGGCCATGTCAGATTATGAGCATACAATACCTCATTTTCAGGAAGGAAAAATTAACTTTGACTGGACATGTGGATGGCCCTAACCAACATGCTGCATTTTTAAAAGCTGTGGGACACTGAGGCTCCCTGAGGGAAGTCGCTCAGCAAATCTCTTGTATGTATGACTGCTGTCACTGTATTTGGGAATAGCTGCATGAATCATCAAAGCAATGTTTATCCAGACATCTGGCAACTCAGAAGAAGATTCAGTGCTGGAAATTTTAACTCTCTGTTCTTGCCACATCTGTTTCTGTCAGATAGCAAAGGACTGCATCTTTGCTTGAAAGTGGAGACACCCGGCAGGAAAGGAAAGTTCTGGATGCATAGGTGTCTTCCTCATTGAGAGCCACTATCCATGCATGGATAGAAGAATAACTGGTAACTAAGGAATTACTTGCAATTGGAACTGATGACAGTTAAGGGCCACATCACTTGGGTCTTTGCCAGATTCCCAACCATCACATGTCCCTTTCTGGAATGATGTAAGATGAATGACAATACAGTTTATTAGTAAGCCTGCACATGTTGACCCAGGTTTTATTTGGCTTCAAGAACTGCACAAAAAGCCTGAAAATGTCTACTTTAGCAACAATTAAGAGTGATCCACCCCCTACGAGGTCACCTACAAATAGTCTGTTTCTGTTGGATCACTCAGTGATGCTCAGCAATAGCATGAAGTAGAACTTAGCACTAGACTGAATAAATGAAGACTCAACTTCCACATTTCTCTTTGGTTCATTTGGTGCATGAATTTTAATGACATTATTTTATATAGGATTCCAGGGGTTCAAATCAATAAAATCATTTACTTTTAGAATTAATTTAAAGTACTTTTAATCTACAGGATGTTTGAGCCCAATTTAACTGGTTGTGACTCAAAATAAAATAAATGGTTTTGCACTATGCTGTTTTGTAACTAGTGGGTTTTTTTTTTTTTTTGGCTTAAAATTTCTTTTTCAGCTTTATGATTACTCTTGCCTATTTTCATACTTTTGAAGAGAGAAAAATGAAGAGATAAACTCTGTTATGATTCAGAGACTTCAGAGCCACACAATTATGGCTGAGATGGAAGAACACAAGAAAGCCAATAGCAGTTTATCTTCAGAGCTGCCATGTGAAGTCAAAGCCATCCTACTAAAACAATTAACATCATATATGCCTGAACCTTAGAGGCCTTATGGTTGTGTGCAGAGTTGATCCATTTTTACTGAGGAGATGAATCCCCAGAGTGGTTACATGCCTGCTCCAATGTCACACAGCACACATCTGATCTCAGGTCTCCTACATGCCAATATGATTCTCTATTATTTCATGGTTGATCCTTAATTTCCACAAATATCTGAAGAGCTTATAATTATATCTATTATAGTATAAAATAAAAATATTCTATGATATTAATATAAAATAATTAATATAAAATATTAATACCCTTTCACAGAGCAACTTGACCACTAGAGCATAATCTACATTTTGTTCTACTGTTCCCACTAGCTGGCATGCTAAAGACCCATGGGAAACTGAAGTAAAATGTGGGATATTCTAGACTTGAGTAATCCAAAACTACAATTTCTCTCTTGTTTCTAGTCAGATAATAATGATAGGGTGTGCTAAAATACAGTTTCAAGTGATTTCATAGCCATCTCTCACGCAAACTCAAAGTGTACACAAGCAACGCGTAAAGTAAGAATTTGAGGGCTATTCAAATTAAGATTTTGTATTCTCTAAAACTCCAGAACTGCTCAGTTTGCTCAGACCAGCAGTTGCCTGTTGACTCCCACTATTTAGTTAGTCAGTACTGGGTGCATGTGATCCAAAAAGCCTGAGGCAGTGACCAGCTTACTTCAGACCAATGAACACATTGCTGCAGGGTGGCTGTCTCCCTGGCCTGGAGGTTCCAATGGGATTCTTGGGGTGGGGTGGTGGTGGAAATCCACTGGTGATCATTTGTCTAAAGGGTGTGAATTGACACACACAAATAAGTAAAGAGTGTGTGCAAGGATGAAAAGGAAGATCCACTAACCAGGGTGGCAGGGGACAGAACCCTCCACACGTGACAGAGAGCAAACAGTCCAGGAAAAAAAGCATCCATTAAGAAGGATTTATTTCCTGAAACTGTGAAGCAATTGAGTACAGCCAGCCCTATGTAGTCATTGATTCTTATCTTTGAACAGTTCTTAGAAAACATTTGGAGGAACAATTTCACCTTCACTGAAAATATACAGAATTTTTTATTATCACTCCTGAACAAGGTAATGTAACAACTATTGATACAGCATCTACACTGTATCCATTATCCAAGTCAGCCAGAGGTGATTTAAAAGTATATGGAAGATGCCTATAAGGTTCTTTGAAAACGCCATTTTATAAGAGGGACTTGAATATCCACAGCCTTTTGCATGAGGGTTGTCTGGGAACCAATCTTTTGTAGATATCAACATACAATGGTAGCTTCCTTATAATTTTTCATAAAAACTCAAAATTGTTATAAAAACTCAATGTCAAGTAACCATACTAAGGAAGAAGCAATAGAATCTTGATTTCAACAGTTTGTCCACAAAGGAGAGTACCATGTAAACATACAAAGAAACTGTCAGCATAATTAAAGAGAAGTTTAAGAATCCTTAGTGAGGTCCCTGACACAGCTACTAGAACAGTTACAACATCTGAAAAGGAATTGTGGTAGAGAATTCACACTGTTACAAGCACTCTAAAACACAATTTGGCAGTTTTTTCTACAGCAGAGAACACATTTGTTTGACTTAATAATTCTCTTTCTAGGTATGAGGAATGAAAACCCCAGTTTCCACACAAAGATTGACACAGGAATGTTCACAGTAGCCTTACTCATCAGAGCCCCAAACCTGAAATAATCCAGATAGCCATCAGCTGGTAAATGGATAAACAAATTATTACGTGGAAAATACTACCCAGGAATAAGAAAAACAGTTGATGCATATGACAATATAAAGGAATTGAGAAATACTATACCATATCTGTCAGATACAAACTACTAAAGGTCTAGTCCCACTTACTTAAAATTCTGGAGAAGGCAAAATTCCATCAATATTCATCAGATCAAGGATCACCAGGACTGGAGGGGATGGGTGGGACCAACTACAAAGAGTAGGAGACGTGTCAGATGATAGAAACACAGACCATGGCTGCAATAGTGGCTACTGTACATATCTATGGAACTCCTGAACTGTATAGTGGAAGTAAGTAAGTCTGACTCTATATACATTAATTGTATATACATTGTACCTTAAATACATTGTACCTTACATACAACCATCAATTAACCTAAAAATCCTTAACTTCATCTATAAGACATAAAAACTCTTCATGGGATGATTCTCCACATCCCCAAAAACCTAAGAAGAATCACAGCAACCTGCAGTGGCTACATGCCACAAAGAAAGTATTCCATTGTTCTACAACTTCCACTGGGCTGTAGTCTTGCTAATAGATTTCTAAGGTATTAGCCTAGTAATATTTAATCTATAACCAATCTTTTCATTGTAAAAGGATAGACTTCTACAATTTGATAGTTTGTGGATGGTAAAATGGAGACATGTTGGAGGATATTTGATCATACTATATACCCCAAGTTAACGTTTGTGTTAGTTAAGTAAGATTAACCTTGGGTCAGGAGGCTGAGTTAGCATAGTAGTCATAGAGCATCAGAGGGCATCTGCAAGAGATAGAGAGACACATTGGAAGTGGAGGGATTTTGAATGGCAAGGCTTTTTTGTTTTGGGGGAGTGGAAGATCAGGCTTTCAGCAACACTAACAAGGAGAGGAAGTCAGCTAGTTGTTATTCAACCTCTCTGAGCTAGCAAGTTTTTCCCCCAGCCTTTGAATCCCAAGTCTTACTTATAAATAGAACAATGGAGATTTAGTTAAAGCAACAGAGCTGCTGCCTGCAGGAACAGAATTCCCACCAGGCTTTGACCTAACTCTGAAAACTGCGGGGTTGCAACTGCTGGCTGAAAAAGCTGTATACTGAGGTGCAGCCACTGTGCTGATGATAAAACAACAGAGACAGAAGACGGCAAAACCAACTGTGGAAACTTGAAGCTCTTCTTGAAATACTTGAACAAATATTTCTCAGGGGGCTTCTATTTATTGGTCCCTATCTAGATAGAAACAGACATTAAGATTAGGCAAGAAAAGCCATCACTCACACAAAGTCCGCCATACCAAAAATGCAATGTCTTCTATGGTAGAAGTTATATATTTATGTAGGTGCAAAAGACTCTTAAGATAATCACTGCACTGTAATTACAGCATAAATACCAGAATAACTACAGGCTGTACTGTCAGAAGTAAAATGCTCAGTATAAAGTGAGTTCTACTGTGCTGTGTGAACTGGTCAGCCCAAATAGGGTACTGGTGTGCCTAGGGTGGACTCACAAGCTTCCTTCTAAAATGCATCTTAAGATCTCTTGATCTTTTACGGTAATAACAATGACCCACCACTACTAAAGTCTAAAAATGGTGCATGAAACAAAAGTGACCCAGTCCCTACTAAATTAGTAAGAGTGACAGGTAGTACCAGATCTTGGCAAAGGGAGACATGGGCAGACAGAAACGTATGGTATTTTGAATGAGAACGGCCCCCATAGGGTCATCTATTTGAATACTTGGTGTCATTGTTTGGGGGAATGATTAGGAGGTGTGGCCGTGTTGGAGGAGGTACATCACTGGAGGTGGGCTTTGAGGCCAGGTCTCTTCACTTTTTATGTCCAACTTGAAGATAAGATGTAACCTCTGCTCCAGTACCATGCCTGCCTGACACCATGCTCCCGGACATGATGGTCTCTGAAACTATAAGTGGCCCCCCAAATTAAATCCTTTCCTTTATAAATTGCCTTGACTGTGTCTCTTCATAGGAATAGAAATGTAACTAAGACAAAAGGAGGCCTAGAAATATTTAAATCAACTGCCAAAGTTCATTAGCATGAAAATGGAGCTATGTTCTGAGCATGGAGAGACAGACAGCATTCTGAGTGGCAGAAGTTATAAAGAAGCACTGTGGCTCATGGCAAGCACATTCTAGTAACCTAACAGCTTAAGGTTTGAACAGGCTGCCTTGTAAAGCAAGGAGATTTGGAGGCAGCAATGGACTCTGTCCTAATATTTAACAGATATGCCTCCTGGAGCAGTATCACTACCTCACAATCTGTTTCCCAAAACTCAGGCTTTCAATCTGATCAACAAAACTGATCATTCCCATATCCTGCTGTGCTCACACCCTCCATGTTCTGTCACATCCTCTGTCCCTGACTCACCTACTACAGACACCAGAGCCCTCACCATCAACTCTTTCACAGCTACTCAAAGGTAGGATGGTGGCAGACAAAGCCTTTTAGGGATGAGCCTCATCAGCCACTGTCCCTCATGTGGTTGGGTCCCAGATACTCAAAAATCATGAGCAGAAGTCCCAAGCTGGTTATGCTGTTTCCTTTATCATGTGTGCATCCTGTCCGCTATCCAAATACCTCTCCTACATCCTGTCATGTCTGGAGACTTCAGCCCATTTAACCTTCTCTCAGACCACCCTGCTGTTGAGTGCATTTCCCTGGCCTCTTGAAGCTTTATTTCTAAGCTTCTTGCCATTCTCCGGCACCTTGCTAGGTTCCATGAAGACACCCAGTCCAGGTAAAACCAGCTGCTGTTGTAACTCCACACTAGGCCATAAACCCATCCTGGTTATCTCAGCCCCTTAGGATTGAAGCCAGGAAGTGAGACCTCACATGCTTGTGAACAAGTCAGGGCTCCCAAGACAGCAGTTACAGGTGCATGGGTGGAAGGTCTCATCTTATCCGTTCAGTGCTGAGCCAGCTTGGGTTATGTGACAACTTGAGTAAGTCTAAGCAAATCTCATTTTGAAGCTATTAAAAGTGGAAGGTTGGCAACTCTCAAAATAAAAAGCCTCCTTTAATTGGGACACAGGGAAATAGCGAAAATGATGACCCAAAGAACATTTCTAAACATTCTGGACACGTGAATTTAAATCTTTGATGCTTCTCAAAAGTAAATGCTTGTGAATGGACAGGGGAAGTACCAAGTATTTTGTGAACCAAAGCAAGGGCCTCCCTGCATGGCCAGGATCTAGAGACAGCACTCCAGCCTCAGAACGCTATTCATTGGCACATGCCAGCGCCTTGCAATGAGGATCTGCAAGGGGAATGTGTTAGCTCAGCCACAGGGCATGTCTATAAAATCAGACAGGAGGTTTGACTCTGGTTCAACTTTTGATAATTAATATTTGCTTCATTCTGTCCTCAGGACTCCAAAGAAATCAATGTCAGGAAAAATGAATAGGCAGGAAAATTGAGACTATCCAAACTAATGCCTCCACAATATATACTTCAAACCCATGCCCCTGTCATATTAATGGCAACTTTGCTACCTTAATAGTAAAACAGGTTAAGAATCTCATGCCCAAAGGAATGAATCCATAAGGAGTCTTCTTATGGCCAGAATCCATGTTCAATTACAAAATTCACTCGGTGTCTTACGTTCCCTAAAAAATGGTTCATAAAGTTAACCTTTGAATTCTGTCACGTCCACCATGCTGCACTCTCAAATCAACATAGGTCTTAGGAAAAATACTACTGGTTAGCCAATAAATAACTGGTTGAAAAGGTTTGGGCTTCTAGCTTAGTGGTCAACAATACGTATTTGCCATCAAACAATCCCAGAATGGAATTTCACTTCTTTTCAGAGTTTTCCTCCATATCAAATAACAATATATTTACTATCACCGACAGAATATTTAGAATAGTAACAATTATATTTTATTTCCTAGTTGTAACAATGTTATAAATTAGTTTTATTCAAGGATCTTCAACTTTCTAATTCCCTGCATACCACAGGAAAACCACTTTTTCTATTCCTTGCTTCTTCCCAACACTACAAAACTGAACTGCTCACAATCCCAGGTGCCACACTATTTAAGGTCTTAGTTCTTGGATTTGATCTGTCCTATCTGCTCACCTAGCTGTCAATCAACTTGCTTTAACAAGCAACTGATGTGGGCTCTCATATGATCTCCAGGGCAGCTCTCCTAAACACATTATCTTCCTTGCCCTGAGCTGTGTCTCCTCTCTAGAGACCACAGAGGCTCTCTGGAGCACCTCTGGGCACAAAGCATCCCCTTAGGACAGGCTTGATGAATAGCCAGAGTTAGGCAGTTTAACCATTCTGGGACATAATGAAAGACACACGCACAGGCTCATCCCTGGTCAAAAATTTGACCTATAATCCAGACAGATCAAACAGTGCCAGGAATGGGAGAAGGGCCTAAGCTTGACCCTCACCACCACTGACTCTAGCTCTCTAGCCACCTTTCTGAGCCACTCCACCTGTACAGCATGCCAGCAACCTCAGGAACACCTTGATTGAAGCCTGGTAAGAAACAGTCTGAATCCCAGAGCAGAGTTCCCGAGTCCCCATTGACATGCAAAAGGGAATAGAGGTCATTTCTACTGCTAAGCTTTGAGGACAATGTTATGCAATAAGACATAATAAAGCTTTTACTTCAACTTCTACCTTTCTTTCTTCCCAGTAAAATCGTTTATCTGAAAGTATCTATTTCCCAGATTACAAAAATAACTAAACCTCATCAAAATGGCACTGGGACTGTTCTACCTCCTTACAGCCATACTCACCAAAGAGAAGTCAGCCTTCTCAAATGCTAGCTCTGATTAAAAAATATCCTACTTGGTTTTGTTGAGCATGGCAGTCAGATTAAATGGGTCAACTACATAATTAAACCATAAAAATAGAATGGGTTTAATAACGTAACAATAAAAAGTTCAATATTGTGGGGGTTACACTGGTTTCCAAATAAAACTAATTTTCATTGTAGAATACACATTCCATTAGATTTCTACTTGAAATCCTCATAATTTTGCAAAAGTTTTGATTTGGTCCACAGGGGACTTTTTGATATAAGGAATTGAGATGAAGTTTAGAAATGGTTACATATTTCCATGTATTTAATTAATTTAATATTTTCTAAATCAACTTTTGCTGGAGTAAGAAAAAAATATTTCAATATGTAAATTTAACATCTATCTCAAAGTAAAACACCATCTAAGCCTTTT